ACACACACCATGCATGCACACATGCATCACGCACACACCATGCACCACGCGCGCGCACGCGCGCGCACACACACACACGCACACACCAGGCACCAGTCAGTCTCCCATCCCCTCCTCTCCTGTCTTGGATGAGGCTTCTAGGACCTTTACTACTGGGTCCATTGGTCACCTGTCCTGCGTGTATTTCTTTGCAGACTCCCTGCTTGGGGCTTGGTCCTTGGCTCCTCTCCCCTTTTGGCCATCCTGGCCTCCCCAGGGGTCAGGCTGAATGTGTCCAGGAAGAGCACCCATCCTGCCTGCCTCCTCTGGGGCTTTGTGCCCAGGCACTGACACCATAGTCCACCCACAGCTCTGAGACGAGCCAAGGTGCAGTCTGGCCCTGAGGGAGCCACCGTGCACAGCTTCAGGGTGCCATGGACACAGAGCACTCTGAGATCCTTGCCCCAGGTCCTAGCCCATCAGCACCTAGGCGAGGATGCTGTTAGCCCTCACCACTCTGTGCCCAAGAGGGTGTGTGTCTGTGTGCAGCTGCTAGCCCAGATGCTGGGAGCTGGAGGCAAGGCACGGATCATCATATCCACCTGGCGGCCCGTGCTTGCAGCGGAGATCTGTCCAGAATGTTGGGTGCAGCGGGGCAGCGACCCCTGGTCTGAGGGGCCCTGAGAGCACGTGTGGGCCTGTGGCAGTCCCACATCTCTGTGCTTGTGTGTCCTTGGTCTGTGAGATGGAGAAACAATGAATCTACAGTGGACCTGGCCCCAGGCCTCCCTGGCTGGGACCCATACTGCCAACCACACCGGGCCACCCCCCAGGTGTCCCATCTGGAGGCTGATGAGCAGGGGCAAACCTGCCCGGCTTCTCACTCTCCTCTCTGGTCCCCTCAGGCTCCTCCTGGTCACCAGCCTGGCGGCTCTGCTGCTGGGGGAGGCAGGCTCGGCTTTCCTGCCCCAGGTATGTGTGAGCTCCTCCGCCCAGCCCTGCCCCACCAGCAAGGAATGTGAAGGAAGGGCGCCAAGTGCGGCGGGGGGCCCTGTGGGCACTGGGAGGGACCCTCAGGATGACACGGAGCAGGTCCCTGTGTGGGGTCTGATGGGCAAGGCTCACGGACGCCCAGGTGGTCCAGGTGGAGGAGGGGGCCCTTGATGACACTCACTTGCATTGTGAGTCCGAGCACATCCTCCGTCCTTGTGCATGCTCTCTGTGCAGGTAACTGGTGCCAGGCCGTGTCTCCCCATCCCTCTTCCCCTCCGACCCCGCCCTGGGCCAAGACCACTCAGACTTGCACACCTGGGAGAGACCAGGTGAAGGGGAAAGCCCACCCCTTCCTGGCAACAGACAGCTGGTCGCTCCCCAGGGGTCACGTCTCATTCACTCCCCCGTGCTCAACTCGCTCCACAGAGGGCTGGACTCAGAGGAGCTGGCCCCCCCTCCTCAGGCCATCAGCCAGGGAGGGGTGGTGCAGACGCAGCCCCAGGGGTGGTCCTGTCTCTCCAGGAACCACATGGCTTCGGTCCAGTCTGCAGAGGGTGGGGTGGAGTCAGTAAGTGTGGTCCAGGGGACCTTGGAGCCATCTCTCTGCAGGTGTCCTCTGACCTTGGACCCCACACCTGTGACCTCCCTCTTCCAGGTCCTCATCAAGACCAAAGGCCATGTCGGGGCCCCTGAGTGGGACACAGAGGAGTGAGTGCCCCCAGTAGCCCCTTCTGGGAACCCCCTAAGCTAAGGGTGTTGTGGATGGCGGGGAAGCCCTGCCCAGCAGCTTCGGGGAGGGGGCAATGCTCCAGCCTGCATGGGGCCCCACGGGATCTGTCAGCGGCCTACCAGAGCCGGGGAGCAGGGGGCTCCAGGATGATCCCCTAGCTCTCCTAGCAGCCTCCAGGATAGTTACCCCACCCCCAGGGCCGTGGCCCCAGACAGAGGTCCTCCTAAGCCATGCCCCGTTCCCTGCACTCGCATGAGGCAACACCGGCTGGTTTCTCCCCCAGGGCCACTGGGCCAGGCCAGAGGGCAGAGAGCCACTCCCCAGCCTGCACAGTCCTGGCCTCCGGAACAGGAGGGAGCTCCTGTCCACGTTCTCTGGGTCTCCACGACCCAGGGCTGGGCCAGGACGTTTTCTCAGGGGACAACCTTAGGATGCCTCCCAAGGGACGCTCTGACCTTCCTGGGCCCCCTGCAGCTCAGGGATGTGGTGGGGAAGCCTGGCCTGGTTCCGTGGAGGTTGCCTGGCCATAGCTCTTGGGGGGGGGCGGGCAGGGCTGCTTGTCCCAGGGCCCCTGGGGCAGGTCGCGAGTGATGGAACTGAGCCACCAAGGACTCTGGTGGGGAGCAACTTCCCACTAGGTCTCCTGCCCAGGGCCCCCAGGCTGCTCAGAAGGTGGTGGGCACCCTCACTGGCCGGGCTGGCTGGCTGCCTCCTTTGGAACAGGTAGACCTGACTGACCCAGCTGTGCTCGCAGGGCCTGGGGCGCCCGAGTGGTGGAAACTCTGAAAAAGGACAACCAGCTCATGGGGCTGCTGGTGGCACCAAAGCCTGCAGCTGCCACGTGGGAGAAACCACAAGGTCAAGGTGAGCACCCCTGGCGGGGTGTGGAACAAGGTCACAGCAGGGGATCCCCCATGGAGTCGGCTTCCCTCCAGAGGGGAACCACACCTCCATCCCATCTCCTTGTCCTTAGGCACCAAGGCCCAGGCAGGAACCGAGGACACCCTGGGCCACGTTCCAAGCCCCAGGTGGGACCCTGAGCCGGACCGTGATGACCTGTACCACCCACCGCCCGAGGAGGCCCAGGAGGTCCAGGATGAGGCAGGGCTCTGGTCCTGGGCGCTGTCACTTCCCCAGGTGCTTCAAGGGCCAGAGGAGGATCGAGACCACATCTACCATCCCAGGGAGGATTCCTGGGGCCCCTGACCCCTCCCCAACTGGAAAAATAAACCTCACAGAGGCGGAGGCCACATGTGTCTTCAGGAAGAGTGACCATGGTCCTAGCCTGCTCTGTCTGGGAGAAGGGAAGCCCGTGTCCTCCTGGTGCCACAGGCTTGTCTCCACACATCGAGAGCCCCCAAAGCTCCCCCAACCCAGCACCCCTGCTCTTGGAATAATCTGCTCCCCTTAGGCCTCCTCCTTGTACGCTGGGATGGGGCTAGGGGCAAGGCAGAGGTCAGGGGTTGGGACCAGTCAGCTCCCCGCAGACGGGCCCTAAAAAGACGGCAGGAGGCTGCCCGTCAGTGGGCGCTCAGGTGGACAGGTGCACTGGTGCTCAGGCGGGGGGCGGTGCAGGACTCAGGCCAGACTCCCAGTCCTCCTCATTCTCTGGGTGCTCGCCTGGCGCTGTCTGAGGGGCCCGGATCCCAGGGCACGGCCCAACCTTGTGGCTGCGGGCATGGGCTCACTGGAGTTATTTCACATACTGAATGTGTGCAGACTGTGTGCAAATGCAAATGGGGCTGTGTGTGGCGATCACGTCCCTGCACCAAGAGGGAAGCCCTGAGTGCCTCTCGGTCCCCAGCCAGAGCCACTCCAGTGCTTAAGACAGAATAAAGCACCAGGCAGATTCGGATGCATGGGCTGCTCTGGGGACAGCGGGCTTGTCCAGGGTGACCTCACGTGCCCTAGAGTTGTGTCCTCCCGTGGGTCCCCTGAGGACTTGAATGGTGGCCCACGCCCTGATGCTCTGTCCGACGGCTCACGCCTGGCACTGTACCACCAAGTAGGGGCACTGTCATCCCCACATTACTGAGGAAGGGACCCCAGACTGGACAGTGACCTGTTCACGGTCCTGCTCTGACAGCAGGACCGTAACAGTGAGTCCCAGCCTCACCGCTGTGCACCTTGCACTTGCTCTTGCCCCAGACCAGAGGAGCCAAGTGCACAGGGAGGCCCCAGACTATCCCGCACGGCACATGTGAGGGTTAGTAGGCCCACAGGTTGCCCCCGTCTGAGCAATCTGGGTACGGGCAATCGGGGCCCAGCGCCGAGCTCAGATCCAAGGTCAGTGGTGGCCATGGCCCTGGACAGCCCAGGGTGGTTTGTGGCCCAGTCTCTCTCTGGCATCCCTGGAGCCAGGATTCCCCATGGGCATTTCCTCCAACCCAAGGGTGCAGCCATGTGGCCGAGAGCTCCTGGAGCGGCAGTGCCGCTAGGATTTGGGAGTGGGCCGTTGAGGCGTGTGAGCCTCGTGAGCAGGGGACGCTGGAGGAGGCAAGAGGCTCTCCAGTGTAGACAACATCCAAAGGCATTTAACTGTACACTTTAAATGTGTACAGTCTATTGTACGTCAGCTAAGTCTCAATAAAGCTGTTTAAAGAAAGGCCTTTGTGTGGCTAGCAGTGGCCGTGGGGTCAGGGGTCTGAGGTTAAGTCCTGGCAGTGACTGGGCCCGGGCAGGGTCCCTTCCCTAGGCTGAGCCCCAGACCTCCAGCCCAGTGGGCCTGGGAGGTTCTCCCTGGCATCGGGGACACCAGCACCGGTCCCCAGCAGGGGAGCCTTCCCCAGGCTCCGAGGGACCTAGAGGCCCAGGAGCCCCCGTTCATACCAGCTTCTGCACCCACATGGCTAAAGGGAGGCCTGGCGGGGAGCGCAGGGGTTTGGGGAGACCGTGGGGTCCAGAGCAGTGGTGGCAGGATACTCCCACCCTGAGCACCCTGAGCCCCCGCCCCAGCCTCATGCCAGAAGCCACCATAGCCCCCCTCCCACATGCTGCCTCCAGGCAGGCTGGCCCTTTGCCTGCTGGGCACGGGGCGTCCTCTTGCCTCCTCCCGCCTCACCCCCCGTTTCCCAGGACGGCTTGGGCCCTGTGTGTTCAGCAGGCACTCAACCACTGGAGAGCGGGAACAGGAGGGAGGCCTTCCTTCCCACCTGAGGATGCATGGTGGCGGGGGGGGGGGGGCGCTCTGAGGAGCCAATGGCCTCCCTTGTGTTCGGCACCAAACAAGTCTTTGTCAGGACGGGGCTGTTGTTGAAACCCCTGCACTGAACACTGACGCGTCACCACACTTCACACCATTGTCGTAAATTGGGTGAGTCCCAGTACCAGGCAGCAGCCCCTCCCCCTACCTCCCAGGGGTCCCCAGCTGGGTGCAGTCTGCGCTGAGCAGGGCAGGGCCGGTTCGTCCGTTGTCTGGCTCAGAGATCCAGATTCCTCTCTGGGCCCCGTGGTCTTCGCCAGGCCTAGAACAGTGCCTCGGGGGCCAGCACCCCCTTCGTGAGGATGAGATTTCCATAGAGGGCCGTCTCCCTGCATAAGGAGCTGAGCTGAGCACCAAACTGGGATCCCTGCCCTGCCCCCCATCCCATCCACCTTCACCCCACCCACTAGACAAGTCCAGGGACCAGTCCGCAGGCAAATCCCTTGACAATCCTATTCCCAGTGGGGCCTCTAGTCTCATTTGGGGCAGGGGCTGAGCAGAGGGTAGGGGGAGCGCCTCATATGACCCAGACCCAGCCAGACCTAGCCGAACCTACCCTGACCAGCAGGACCCTGCGGGACCCCGTGAACTCGGCCAGAACTCACCCAGTTGCTACAACAGCAAAAGCCTTTTTGGCCCGCGCGTAAAACTCAAACCTCTCTATCCTTGCCAGGGTGCTCTGGAAGGCAAAATGTCATGGTTGAGGGGCCTTGCTCAGAAACCCTCAGGGCCCAAGCAGGTGCCAGGGGCATGAGGAGACAGAGCCGCTCTGAGCTTCATGTCTCTGGCTCTCCTGGCTGAGGTCCCAAGGATGCTGGGAGGACTGGACAGGCAGGGACATGGGGGGCTGTGGTGGCCGGCTGCCTGGGGCCCTTGTGTCTCCCGGAGTTGGCCTGAAGGCAGGAGGGCCCCTGCCCAGGATAGGAGTCCCAGGCAGCCTTTCCTCAGGTGGGTCCTGCCCAAGACGTGCCAGTGGGAGGTCCTGGGGGGGACAGGTTCATCCCCTCACAATGTGGGGGTGACACACGGCATTAGGCCCGGCCTCTGACCACAAGACAGGGGCCAGGGGTGCCCCACTTGCCCCTGGCTCCACTCACACAAGCTGGGGTGGGTGAGGGGCCACAGGCCACGACAGGGTCCCTGACCTGAGAGGTGGGAGGCTGGGGGTAGGGGACAGCCACAGCCCCAGGGTCACTCTTCTGTGGAGGGTGAGCAAGTGAGCCACAGCTGTAGGGTGGATTCGGGGCCCGTCTTTTACTCCTCCCCGGCCTCCAAGGGGGTGCAGGGGGTCCTTGAGTGCTTTCCTGGTGGGGGTTGCAGCCTCACCATGCAGCCAGCCTCAAATAGGATGGACTGGTAGCTCCTCCACACTGGAGTCTGAAGGCCTGTCTTCCTGTCACTGGGCACCAGCTCCATGACAGCAGCCTAGGGACAGAGGGGGTCAGCTTGTGCTCTATCTGTCCAGCTGCCGCGGGCACTTCCAGCCCCCACACTGGGTGACGGTTTAGGGGTCCTCTGATGAGGCTCAGGGCTCTTTGGGGACACATGTCCTCCCCCCACCCTTCAAGGCAAATGGGTCCTCCGAGGTCTGACAAAGAAGAAACCAAGGACCAGAGCAGGGAGGGGGCAGTGTGGTGACAGGCACTCACCGGGCTCTCCACGTAGGTGTCCAGTGGCAGCACCTTCAGAACAGCCTCCAGGAGCGGTGGGGTGCCCAGGCCTAGGGCGGAGGGCCAGCCTCAGACTGCAGCCCTCTGCCACCCAGCCACCAACAGTGCCGCCTGCCCTCTGGGCCTTCTACCCTGGCCTCACGAAGCCGGCCAGCAGGGATGGTGTTGGGCCCAGGATAGCCAGGGATGCAGGCCCCTGCTGCCTGCCTGCTGACACTTATTGGGGTCACGCTGGCCTCTCCCTGCCATAGCACCTGTGACCATCCTGGCTCAGGGCTCGCCCTGCCCTTCAGTCTAGTTGCACTACACAGGTTATTGGTGGTGACCTCAAACACTCATCCACCAGAGGGGCACCTGGGCCACCTCCCTGACCCCAGTTCCCCCAGACGACCCGTGGGTTGCCACCTTTATCCTGTGGTGAGAACAGGGGGTTCTGGGAAGAGGCTGTTCTGCCCCAGGCTGTCCCCAAACCTGCCCACTGGTCTCCAAGGCCCCTGCTCTCCTGTAAAGCTGGTTTCTCACGGTTAAAGTCCTGGTTGTACAAAACGGGCAAATACGGAGCTGGTGACAAGAAAGAATCGGCTGTGATCTTTTTGCTGGTGGGAAACCCTGCTATATCCCGGGTGCGTTTTCTTCCGCCTTTTCCTCTGCTTTTCTCTGTGGTTAGATTTGTCTGCGTACCTGGCTCTGACCCCTAACTGCTTGTTTCCACTAACTCGCAGGGCGTGCGGGTCACTCCTTATCTTCCAGCACTCTGGCCTTTCCCATGGCCCACCTTGTCCCGTTCTCCTTGGGAAGGAGAGCATGTTGGTCATCTGGCCCACAGTGTAAACTGAGGCATGGCTGGCTCATCTCCCTCAGCAGAGGGTGGAAGACAAGGCCACTGGGCCTGGACAGGCCTCAGACCACTGGCCCGCTCTGTCCAGAGGGGCTGGTTTACCCTACATTTCACATCTTTGTGCCTCAGTGGCCTCAGTTTTGCAGAGAGAGTTGTGTCCTCTCTCAGAGCATTGCTAAGGGCGGGGAGACAGTCAGGCCCAGTCTGAGCCCACTGCCAGCCCAGGCAGGACAGGACAGGGCGACGCTGGTGTCCTCACACCCCCCACCCCCTTACTCTTGGTACTAACTCTGCTACTACCATCACCTTGGGGACCTGACTCCAGGCCCCTCCCAGCCAAGCCTGCAGCCCACCCCTGAGGGTCAGAGGGTCTCAGAGACAGAGCATGGGGGCACCTGGAGCCTGTGAGGTCAGGTCACCAGTACTGGGATTTCTATAGCAGAGTAAAAGCTGAACACGGACCTGGGCTGTGGGGGGCAAGGGTGCACCAGCGCTCAGCCAGCCAACAAGGCATCTGGCCTCAGTTTCTCCACTGGCAAGAAGTTACTGAGAGGTATCTGAGATGGAGCAGGAGGCCCAGGGTCACCTCTGGGGCCTTGGGGTGGAAAAGGGTCTCTGCCGGTCCTGCCATTGGGATTTCCTGGGTCACTGGGGGGTGCTAGGGAATAAGTGGGGATGGGGGCAGAGCGGCAGCACTTTGGCGAGCCCAGAGCTGGGGCCACGGCGTACGCACCCTAACCCCACTCTGCCGGAGTTGGCCCGCTCACCGTCAGCGCGGATCTCCTCCGGGCCACACCTGCATATGGAGGAGGTGGGGAAGTTCACGTCTGCAAAAACTGAACAGCCATCCAACCCGGTTAGACATCCCCCGGTGGGTCCGCGGGTCTGCACAGCCCACCTTCCCACCGGGTGGGTCACCTGTCCGACGTCAGGCCACGCCCACTGCCCTCCCCGACCCGTCGACTCCTCTCGTCAGAGGTGGGGGCGGGGAGAGGAAGTTTCCAAGTGCAGGAGGACCTGCAGGGGCTACGAGGGCGGAGCTTAGAAACCCCCCCCCGCCTCCACCCCTTAGGGGCGCCGCTGCCCCCAGCCCGCTCCGGCGTCGGGCCGCGCAGCCCCCGCCCCAGGTCCACGGCTCCAGGAAAAGACAAACCGCCCCAAAGAGAGCGGTGTGGCCCCTCGTGGGCCGTCTGGGAGGGGTTCTGGAGAATAAGGGGCACACTGGGCCTGAGGCCGGAGCTGGGAACTTGGCCCCGGGGCCCCCAGAAAGCCGGGCTGGGGGAGGGGCCGGACCTGCAGACACAGCCCCGCCTGGACCAAGGGCCACCGTCCTCGTGACCAACTGGGGGCGACCAAGGTCTGGGCAGGGGCTTGGGCCACCAACCGGGCCTGTTTCCTAAAGAATGTGGGGTTGGGGGGGTGTCCTACTGGGAAGTGGGACGGGGCGGCCAAAGCAATGCCTCCACCCCAGGACGCGGCTCTTCCCGGGCTTGGGGAGTGGTCGCCTCCCGGCCGGGAGCACAACCTGGGTCAGGACCCCCGCGGGGCCTGGGGTGGCGGGGGCCCTGTCCCCGCCCCTCACCGATCTCGTCTCCGTGCCCCATCCGTGCCAGGGCGTAGAGCAGCTCAGGGGACAGCAGCGCCGGGACGCCCTTTAGCACCACCATGATCTCGCGGCCTGGAGCGGAGGGGCGTGGCCTCGGCGGAAGGGGCGGGGCAGGAGTGGGGGCACGACCGGGCTATGGGGAGGGTTCCCCCCGCGGCGCCCCAAGGGCTGGACGCACGGAGGACTGCGGCTCGCGCGTGCTGCCCGGGGGCGGGGGCGACACCCGGCCCAGCCCCGCAGCGTCTTGCGGGGCCTCGCGTCCCTCGCCGGATCCCCGGCCCGGGCTTCCCTCTGCCGCCGCCCCTCGCGGCCTCCCCATCCCCCTTCCGTTCCGCTCCCCAGGCCTTGCTGACCCCACCCCCACTCCCAGCCCAACCCAGCCCGCTGGGTCCCTGGAAGGGCGGGTGGCCAGAGCCGTCCGACTTCTTCAACCAACATTCTTTACAAGGGCGCCCACGGGCCTGCCCTGGAGGGGACCCTGCAGGGGACCCTGGAGGGCAGGCAGAAGCGGCCTCCGGGCCAAGCTGGTGTGCTGGGAGCACCTTAGTTGGGGGGGGGGGTCCCACCTTGTCTCCCAGGCGTCAACCTGCTGACACCCCTCAGGTACCTGAGTGGGGTGCAGTGTCCCATCCCAGGGCAGCAGTGACCTGACCTCTTACCCAGGGGCCCCAGCTGCTGGTCCTCCTCAGGATTGGACCTTCCCACCCCCACCCCACCAAGATGGGGTGTCCAGATTGGGGGTGGGGTGGGGAATGTATCCACACCTCGTCCCCTTGAACAGAGGGAGCACCTTGCCTTCAGCCAGCCAGAGTCCCCTGCCTGCTTGCCCCTTGCCCCTGGAGACCTGGGATCTGGGATGCTGGGACCACGAACCATACTGTGCTTTCCTGTTCAGGGTGCCACCACCTACCTCCCTGCTTGAAGATACCCACCCCACCCTCCTCCGAGGTGCACCCCACCGCCTCTCTGTGTCCAGGGCTGGGTCAGGATGGTGGTTCCAGGGCCTGATCCTGGTTGAATGTGTAGCAGACTGTTTTCCAAAAATGGTGGCAACACTCCATCTGCCATCCTGCAGTGCCATGGGCACACCTCCACTGAGAGCTGGGGCTGTCTCCATAGAGCAAGACTGATGGGGTGAGGGATGGGGGTTGCATGGCAGCCAGCAGGGCCTCACCCCTCATGTGGGGCCATCAGTTAAGCTGTAGCTGCTCTGTTGCATGCACAGCGCCAAGAGCCAGCTGGGTCCCCATGGTGCCCAGCACCCACCTGGAGAGATGCCCATGTCCTGACCTCACCTCAGAGGGTCTGAGGATGTTTTGAGGCTGGGGCCCCACCCTGGGAGAGTGACAGCCCCCTTCACCCATGAAGCCCACACAAGCAGTAGGAGAATGGTCTCTGACCCATGCTCAGGACTTTTACTCAATGGCCTGGAGAGATGGAGGGTCTAGAGCACTGTGCCTCGCTGACCCACGAATTCAGTGGCAGATGTTTGGTGGGGCATGGGGTCCCTCGGTCACCCAGTGCCCTGTGAGGTGTGATCTGGGGGATGCAGCTGGCCCACAGTCCGAAGCCAGCAGAGGAAGCTTGCTGTGGAAATTCTGTCTCCCACAGCAAATGACACTCAGTGTTACAGCCCCGAACACAGTTCTGCTGGGCACCAGAAACCGCTGGATGCCTTGGAGACCACACATTCCAGGGCCTCCCATAGTTCTGATCCAGGTCTGGGCATGTGTATTTAAGCAAGCACCCTAGGGATTTGGATGCAAGCAGTCCTAACACCAATCTTGCAGACTGACAAGCACCAGAAGACGGGCCCTGTCGACTGCTGCTGATAGGGCAGAGTGGGCAGGTCCCCACCGCAGGTGGCAGGCTCAGTTCTCGAAATCTTACAGACATGCTCGCACCGCAGTGCAAGGATTCATGCACAGAATGGTCACCGCAGTGTTACCCATGAGAGTCCTGAAAACAAGAAACGAGCCTAAACATCCAACACCATGGTGATAAGTAAGCGACATTCCTGTATCATCACGTATTTCAGGGCCATCGAGCGGAACGCTCACAGGAATAATACCGAGCAATGAGAAGAAAGCAAGCTTGAGGACCTGCTAGAACCTGATGGAGCCCGGAAACGCTGAATGCACAGATACAGAAGGAAGGTAGCCGAGACAGCGCCAGGGCTGCTGGGGGGACGAGGGTTAGCGTTTGTTGGGGACAGTGTCTGTTTGGGAGGACAAAGCAGCGTGGAGATGGACGGTGGGGACAGCTGCCTAACTGTCACTATGCTCAATGCCTCTGAACTGCAGATTCAAAAATGGTTGAGATGGGAAGCTTTATGTTTCCTAGACTTTACCACAATTCAAACAGAAGAGGGTGCACCTGTGGGACCGAAGCAGAAGGTAACGGGTCAGCACGCTGTGCAGAAGTGTGGATGCGCAATTCCATTTTTATAAGAAAACTGCTATCCCCATGTGTCTGCACACGTGTGCACAGAAGCATCTAGAAAGCTACATACCTGTTAACAGTGGTTACCCTGGGAGTGTGCCAGGTGACTTACTTTATGGATTTCTGTTTTGAGGTCACAATGACAAAACAAGCTTGCAGAGTGACATGACGTTTGCCTCCAGAGAGGCACAACGGGATCCGCATCTGCCACGTAGTTGGTAGCACCCGCCCTCTGAGCGGTCACATTCACTGGCTGAGACTGCACAGCGACCAAGCAGGGGATGTGCTTCCACCTGAAGGCAGCTGTACAAAGTGACTGCTTGGCATCGAATCTCTCTCAGTTCCTGAAATCGAGTAAAACTCAAACACATCACCAAAGACTCATGAGCAGAATTTTTAAAAAGATTTTTATTGATTTGAGAGAGTGTGAGCGAGTGCACACACACAAGTGGGGGAGGAGCAGAGGGAGAGGGATCTGAAGCAGACTCCCCGCTGAGCACAGAGCCCGACGTGGGACTTGATCCCACGACCTGAGCCGACAGTCAGTCACTTACCCAACTATGCCACCCAGGCTCCCCTCATAATTTTTTTTTTTTTAAAGATTTTATTTATTAGAGAGAGAGAATGAGAGATAGAAAGCATGAGAGGGAAGAGGGTCAGAGGGAGAAGCAGACTCCCTGCTGAGCAGGGAGCCCGATGTGGGACTCGATCCCGGGACTCCAGGATCATGACCTGAGCCGAAGGCAGTCGCTTAACCACCTGAGCCACCCAGGCGCCCCATAATTTTTGATTAAGAAGAATACGGTCAGAGTGTGAACATGCTCCAGATACGGACTCTCATGGCCGCTGGGTGAAGACTGCCTACCACCCAGGAGCGAGAGCCCCAAGCGTCAGAGATAAACTGTGTGTCACCTACATGGCCCTTTATAAAAGAAGGATTTACTTGCTTCTAAGACTGTCAGACTCTAAATTTGTCTTTAGGTAGAAGGTTCTAGGCAGAGGTGGAGGCGCTCACTGGTCTTTGAAGCTGGCCTTTCTCTTTTCCACAAACGCGGTCATCCCTTCTTTCCGGTCTTCCTGTGGGAAAGGGAAAACAGGCAGGGATGGACGTTCACGTTTTCCTCCGGAGTCAAGGTGTGGGGCTCTGCCTGTCTCTGTGGTTTGCTCACAGTCTGTGCGTTCCTCTGAAACTCAGATTTCACAGAGTGGAGGAGCTCAGGGAGGGAGGGTCCTGCATCAGGACTACCTGGAAACTTGGGAATGGCCTGGATTCCCTGACCACTTAGGGTTGGCCTGGAAATGGCATTTTTATATGCCCCCCCCCCCCAGCCCTTAGGTGTGATCATTCAGAAACCACTAATTTGTGTGTCAAATAAACTCTCACCCACAGAGAACCTCAGATGCACCTGTTTGGGTCATTCACTAATTCATCACCTGCGTGTGTGCACATATACACAAACACACCTTCACTTCCTCAAGAGCCAAAGTCATTTCTAATCTCTCTTTCATGAAACACCTACACATGACTTTCCGATACTGAAAGATGGGTTTTAATGACTTACAAGAAGGACTCCCTTTCAGTGACTGTCAAATCCTAGAAAACATTGATCTGAAGCTTCAGATTGCAGTATTAGAATACATTCGAACTCCATTCCAAGTAACTGGAATGATGTAGAAAATTATGGGCAGATACACTGCGTTTAAATACAGGAGTTTGCTGTTTAAAGGTGCGATTCATCAGACCTTTGTAATAGGAAGTCACCCTTCACACTTGTGAACTTCTACACACTGTACTCATTTGCAAAAATCATGCTCGTGGACGGGACACATTGGATCCAGCTACAGGGAAAGCGAAGTTTGACCAAAGAGAAATGCTATTTAATGAAAAAACCTAGAAGGAAATTCCCAGTGATTTCTATAGCTGGACCATGTGTGTCTCCACTGAATGTTTACTCACGGTAGCGAAAGTTGAGTAGAAGAGCTTCTTCTCCAGCTTGTTTCCCTCTGTTAATGTCATTTCAAAAGCTGAAAAAGAGAACCCTGAAGTTATGAACTCAGGTGTTAGATGTGGGAACATGCAACTTTTTTTATGGTGAGAGGAAACACTCCCCACTGACCCACATGAACCTTAATTTCGTTGTGATTTAGACCACAGCCTGGGAAGCACCCCTGTCTCAATGGCCCACCCCGGCTGAGATGCCAGCAGAGCAACCTACTCAGAGCTTCACCGCTGGTGGCCCCAAGAAGAGGCACGAGGAACTGAATAAAGGCCAACTCTGTCCAATCACAAGAGGATTTGAGAGCCTGCAGAACTACATACATTTTATTACTTTGTTTTCTTTAAAGATTTTATTTCGAAAGAGAGAACACGTGTGTGCATGAGCAGGGGGAGGGCTGAGAGAGAGGGAGAGGGTCACAGGCAGATGCCCTGCTGAGTGCAGAGCCGGACATGGAGCTCAACCCCACAACCCTGAGACCACCACCTGAGCCAAAACCAACAGCAGGATGCTCAACAGACTGAGCTGCCCACGCGCCCCAGAATTAAGTATGTTTTAAAAAGCATAAAAATTAAGAATGAAAACCTGAAAAAGGAACACTGTGCCAAAACAGAGTCCTGGGGGGTCGGAATACCACTGCTCTGGGCCGTCCTTCCAGTGAAGGTGAAGTGTCTTCCCTGGGTGAGCACCTGGGGTGATGGCAGGTGCCTCTGACCGTGGCCTCACTGGCCCTGGGCACGAACAGCAGTGTCCACCTCTTAAGTGAGTGCTACCTGCTCACCCTTGTGGCCACGTCACAAACATCAGCTCAGCCAACTAAGGCCGGCAGCAGCCCGGGGGCCTTGACCGCCTCCCTGCAGAAGAGCACACAGACCTGACGCAGCTCAGCTATCCTGGGCTCACGGCCTTCTCAACAGGCAGCACTGGGCAGTATTACCCCAATGCTGAGCACAACACGCTACATTAAGACTCAAGAAATTCTCAGGAGGGCTTGGAGCTGCTTTGCCTGTAGAGAGGACGGAGAGTCCAGAGCAACCAGGAGCAGCGTGAACTCTGTCCCCGGTTCACGCTGGTGTCCTGTGAGTCTGGGCGGCCACCAGGCTGCAGGCACAACTGCTGGCCGAGAGGAGCATCTTCCACCAGGTTCCGGGAGGTGAGCCGGGTTTCTCAGGAGCCAGACTGGCTTTGCTTAAGGGACCGTCCTGCCCTTCCAAACCATTTCCCTGCACCCCAGTCCCTGTCACTCTTGCCCCTCAGGCTGGTTCCTTTCCTGGGTCCTGATACCAAGGACAACTCAGAACATTTCAGGAGAATCTGTGAGCCAGCAACCACAGACTGGAACTCTACAAAGAGCCAGAATCCCAATGTTAAGAATCCTCCCAGTTTCTGTCCAGGGAGGCTTAAAATGCATCATTTAGAACCACGGCTCCCAGCCCTCAGAAATCTCCTCCCGGCAGAACCCCTACCTGCGTTCACGGATTCTTTGGCCATTGCTGCTACAATTTTAGAATTGCTGGCAATTTTCTCTGCACACTGGATGGCTTCTTCGACCAGTCTCTCCACAGGAAAAATTTTGCTTACGAGACCTAAGACACAAACAGGTAAATAGCAAACAGCACTGGCTGTGCTTCTCTGAGTCACAAGGCCACTCCTAGAGCTGGGGTATTCTGGGGGCCAAGAAGGCTGCGGGGATGCAGGGTCCACACCGTCCCTGAGGTGGGGCCACAAGGCTCTTACAGACACACCAAAAGGGAGGAAGAGTGGGTCACGTGGGGCAGGGAAAGGGTGTGCCTGCGAGGGTCTCGGAAATCCCCCACTGCTGACGTTGGGCTTGGGAAAAAAGATGGTTTTGACTCTTGAAGCTGATATAAACTTCAGTTACTCTCTTGTACGTGTGGCATTCCAAATAAAGGCAGTTATCCCCTGGGTTCTCAGGACACCCGAAGTCAACGTGCTGATCGCCCATGGGCATAGCTGGATGCAGCCCCCTTCTTCCCATCTCCACTCAGCTCCCCATGAGGGTGGCTCCGTGGGGCAGCCCTGGCCCACACCTGCTTGCTTGGCGTCCTGGGCAGAGATCCGGTCACCAGTGAGAATCATCTCCATGGCCAGTGACTTTCCAACAGCGCGGGTCAGTCTCTGGGTGCCCCCTGCACCTGCAGGGGCGGAGGGCTACCGGTCATAGTTGGCTCGTGGCCAGTGCATGCCCAGATGCCACAGACACACTTCCAGCAAGTTCCGAGGGATGAAGATGGGGCCCCTTGGGTGGGGCAGGTGGGCAGAAAGGAGGTAACCCAAGAAACCTCAGGAGAGGCTCCTTTCCATACTCGGGCCCTATGCCCGGCACATCGGGTCCCCTGCAGCTCAGACCCTGGCCCAGCTCAACCTGGAGGGCAGCTGGGGTGGCCTCCGATTGTTGCCTGCTCCCCTCAGGGTCTGACGCGAGAGCAAGGGTTCTGCCTCCCAGGCTGCTCTGAGTGTGGTCTTCTGTCCCAGTGCTGGCCTCCACACGCCCTGTTCATCCTCCTGCTCACCTGACGCTCTGCAGCTGAACCAAGAGTGGTCTACCCTGTTGTCCGGCCGACAGTGAACCCTGGGCCCCGCCGTCCAGCCCATAGTGAACCCCGGGCTGCCAGGGTGAGCCAAGGGGACCACCTGATGGAGACACCCACAGTCCAACAGACTCAGGTGCCGCCTCAATTAAGCAGAGGCCTTGGGCACTGGGATGGAGAGAGCCCAGCAGATAGCAGAGGTCATATAGGGCTTTGCTCGCCCTCAGCCGACCCCAGACACCCTCTCCTGACCTGACAGCTGCTCAGCAGATGCCCTCGGCTCCAGGCTCTACATGCAGGGCAGAGACTTGTGGGGCCATAAGCCTGAAGCTCTCATCAGGTGGCCCCCTGGGACACAGAGGAGTCACTGTTTGCCCACGGCTCCCATCACCCTCCAGGTGGGGGAGGATTCCCCGCTCTGCTGAACTTAGGGTCACAAGCAGGAATCACTGCAGTTATAGTGTGGTATGTGGCCAGCATTTCTTAATAGCGTCTGACAAAGGATCCGGCGGTCATCAGAGGAGCCTGAAGAGACCCAAGGCCCCCAGGGCCACTCTCTGAGTGCCGCTGTGCCCCTGGGGCTTATCAGGGTCAACAGAGGGAGCAATGGGCATAGCCAGGTGGCCGCCGGCCAGGACTCATATCACAGCCGGGATCCCTTGTCAGATGTAAGCTACACACTTTTGTCTATTACTGGAAAAGCCTATAAGCTCCTGAGGTGTGGGCAGATTCTGGAGAATTACCTGAAGAGTTTAAGTTATAGAGATGTCATCACTCTTTACCTGGGATGGTTCCCAGTAGGATTTCTGGCTGTGCAAACTGGGCTTTTTCTCCAGCATAAATAATGTCACACATCATAGCGAGTTCGCAGCCGCCACCAAGCTGCAAAACACGAGGCGCCGCCAGGGGACCCAGTCAGAAATTTACTCCATTTGCTTATTTAAATTTCCCGTCAAAATGAACATGGCCCAGGATGTAGCAAAGATTAAAAGAGATGCAAAGTTTTAAGTTAGTTACAATTGGCTGATGCTTTAAAACCAGCCCTTTAATTAGAGGCGACCTCCCTCTGAGAAGGACCCTACAGCAAGCTCTTTCAGCTTTGGGGTCCCACAGTCTCTGCTCTGCTGTGGGGGCTCGAGAGCAGCCAGAGAGAGTCTGTGAACCAGCAGGCTGGACTGTGGTCCCAGTGAACCTGACTGGCTGACCTCGCCTTACCCACATGGAGCTTTATTAAGCGATCACGAGCTGAGCTGCCCACACTGCTTCACTACCATCGGCCCCAGTGCCCATGAGTGTCCTTGTGTCCAGAGACCCAGACACCACACAGAGGACACTGAGCTCTCGAGGGTGGCAGAAGAGGTCAGCCTGCAGGTGCAGAGCAGGCTGGAACCACTGAAAACCATACAGAAAAGCCAACGTGTGGCCTCCAGCCTAGCAGAGGGGAGACGTTCCCAGGAGTCACAGGGACCGCCGGGAGGGCTGAGAATGGGAGAGCTGGCAGTGGAACACCCGCTAACGAAAGCTGGTGCTACAGCACCTCCTCTCCACACGTCCTGGATCTGTGGTGTTGCTCGGCAGGAACGGTGTGACTGTAACTAAACTCCAGCCTTTTCAAAATAAAAATAGGTTATCCGATGCCTCCCAGTGTGCTGAGAAGAGACTTGGTCTGACACTCACAGCGTAGCCATTGACAGCAGCTATGATCGGCTTCTTGGCCTGGGCAAGTCGGTCCCAGTGGCTCAAGAACTTCCCAGAGTAACAGTCCTGGAATGTTTGGTTCTGCATCTCCTTGATATCAGCTCCAGCTGGGGGTGGAAACGAGTCCCAGTTACTAGAAAGCAGAGACCCCATTACTGTTGCACCCCCAACCCAGCAGGGAGCTATGAGTGTGCACTGTGTGTAGGCACTGGGGGCTGCTGGGAATGGTTGACACAGGGCCCCATGCTTAAGGGGCCTGTGAGGTGCTGGCCATCTGGACAGAGTAGGGCAGCAGGGACAGTGGCAACGTGCCATGCTATGTGTTGATGGAGGTGATGCAGAGGGAAAACAGATGCAAGCTGGATTGGGAAGGCTAGGCTTATTCATCAGTCACTTAAGCGCTTGACACACACAAAACCTAATTGTCAAGGACCCGAATCACTCTGAATAATCTTATTTTGCTGGCAGAGCATGCGTGAACGTTAAACAGGCGGAGTGGCCCTCTGAGAAGTACCTGTGTCTTTTTACACTAGGTTTAAGTAAACCCCAAGTTGTCCTAACTCTTCTGACGCTACCATGCAGGTGTAAGTCTGTTCACAATGCCACATGCCACAGTCAGACCGCCCCTCACACACCTGGGCGACTGCTGCCATGCTGCCCACACACCTGCAAAGGCCTTCTCCCCACCCGTGACAACGATGGCCCCCACAGCCGGATCCTCCTCGAAGGCCTCCAGAGCCTGGTTGAGCTCCGTGATCAGGCCATTGCAGAGTGCGTTGAGTGCTTTGGGGCGGTTCAGTTGGATGAAGCCCACGCTGCTGTTCTTGCCCTTCTTTTCTGCGATGATGTACTGAAAGTCAGCACCTGGGGGAAGAAGGGATTTCCATTCGTGTAGGCATCAGACCCATCATGGGCAGAGTGACCCCGACATGTCTGCCTCGGGCAGCAGCACACAGCTCTCAGCCTCATGGTGGCCTTTGCACCACTCTCTACCTTCACAGAAGTTTGAACATTTCCCAGAACCTGCACTACAGACACCCTGCGATTCAGGAGAAACAAGGGATGGGGAAATAGGCTCCTTCCATAAACACCAGCTGGGTGAGGGAGCAGAGCTGAGTGTGCACAGAACAGAGCGGGAGGCACACCACCGGCCGGAGGGCAGCCTGCTGACCCGGGGCGGGGGGAGGGTGAGTATGGCCGGGAGAGGAAGAAGGGTAACCTCAGAAGCAGCAGGTCTGTGTGTCTGTGAACACCCCGGGGGTTTGGTGGGAGTAACAGGCGAGATGCTTAGGAGCAGGGTGTCTGCAGCCCAGGAAGTGATTGCTGGTGGCAGGTCAGCAAAGGGAACTCAGGGTAGAATCAACATGCTCTGGTAGCTGGGCAGGAAGTGGATACCCGGGTGAGGGACGAGGGTGCAGGGCCTCCATCCCCCAGCGCAGGGAGGGACAGGGCCCGGAGTGCCTCGGGAGCACTGCGGCCCTGACTGAGGGCCCTGACCCGAGGGGAGGACACGCCCGGCCGGCTGCGGGACGCAGAGTCTGAAGAACAGACTTGGGCAAAGCAGTGGATGCGGCAGGCCTGCGCAGGCGGCGCTGCCGTTCGGAGCACGCGCCGTGCCGACTCCGGGGGCCCCAAGCGCACGTTCTCTGAGAGTCCTGTAAACCCTGCAGAATTTCACCACCAACAACCAAACGGAAATGGCCAGAGGTCCTAGCGCTTCGTCATGAGTCCCACCAACTGAGGGGCCCCCAGGAACCGCAGAGATCCGCAAACTGAGGCAGCAGGTGCTGGGAGGCGAGCGCAGCGGGACAGCAGAGGGGCGGGGCCGGGCCCTGCGTGCACGGGGTGGGGGCTGATGGGATCGGGGGCGACGGAGGGGGTGAGGGCCAGGAGGCACGGGGCCTCCAGGGACGGCCAGGGTCAGGCCCCGGAGGGAGGTCCGGGAGTCCCGGGTGCGGCCGCGGTGCCGGCCTCCCACGCGCCCTAAGTCCCGTACTCACCCGAGACGAAGGGGCGCAAGGCCGCGCAGCCGGGCCGGGGACGCGGCGGGCAGCGGACGCGAGACAGCAGGGCGCGCAAGGCAGCCATGGCGCTGCGGGGACGACTGGCCCCGCCCCGCGGAGCCGCCCCCGGCTGCGCCAGTCAGGGCCCGGCCCGCCTCCGGTCCGGCGTCGCGAGACGGCGCAGGCATCGCGAGACCAGCGGGCCCCAGAAGGGGGCGGGGTGAGGTGGGGGCGGGGCCGAGGGGAGCCTAAGGAGGCTGGCGGGGGGCGGCGGGCTGAGGGGCAGGGCGGGAGCGGGGCTGCGAGTGTCGGCCTTGTGGCGTGCCCCCAGCCCTATGCCGGTCGTCGATGACCCTGAGCCGTGGGGCAGCAGCCCGGAAGACCCCGGAGGGCAGGCTTGCCGCGTCCGGCCGCGCCTCGGCCCGGCGGCCTCTTACCGCCCGCAGAGACCCCCGGGCCTGCCCGCACCTCCTCTTGACCTTTGGCCTTCGACCTTTGCCCCCACGTCCAGGGCTCGTTCCCCCACTTCCGGGACGAGCCCTGGGGGCCGGAGGCCAGGCTCCGGGCTGGACGCGAGGGCGCCCCTCTTGGAACCCGGAGCCCCGACGGCCCCACGCTCCCCGGGACGCGCTTCCCTCCTATCAGCCCGCCCGCTGCGGGGCTGGCACCTCCGCGAAGTCAGCGGAAACCGGGTTTGCAGGGTGCAGACGAGTCCAGGCAGAAGGAAGCGCGTAGACACGGAAAAGACGGTGGCAGCAAGGGGTGCCTGGGCGGCTCAGTCAGTTACGCGTCTGCCTTCGGCTGGGGTCCTGGTTCCCGGGGTCCGGGGATCGAGCCCCACCTCGGTCTCCCCGCTCAGTGGAGAGTCGGCTTCTCCCTCTCCCCGTCCCCCTGCTGGTGCTCTCTCTCGCTCTCACTCACTCTGTCAAATAAATATCTTAAAAAAAAAAAAAAAAAAAGTGGCAGCAAGATTATGTAGTTTATTAAAGTAAGATTTAATTTTTAACAATGACATTTTAAATGTATTTAAATTTTTTTGGTTATAACACGTAGGTGTTCAGACATGTATTACCAGGCCTCCGTTTGAATTCTTGTTCAGGTTCTGCAAATAGCGGAGACAAAACACAGATAAATGAAAAGTAAAACTGATGTTTTCCAAATAAATAGTAAAATTCAAACCAGAATTGAATACTCAGCAAAGTTTATTTCAAGGCTGAGGGTAGAATAAAGACATTTTCATGCAGATTACCAACCCGGTGCTAAAGGAGACTGTGTCAGTGTGGGCTACACCCCTGTGACAGGCACACAAAATGAAATGGTTCCAGCATAAAAGAAGTTTTTCTAGGCCCCCAGGGCTGGTGTCGAGGAGAGCAGCTGTTGTCCTCCATAAAATTAGGGACAAAGAACAAGTGACCAAAAAAAAAAAAATGTATTAACCTTCAAAATAAAAGTCACGTATTTAATCAGCCAAAATGGGTTTATTTGGGAATAGCAGAGAATTGCAGTTACGGACATGCAAACTATAGAAAAACCATGTGCCAGTCCAACAAAGGTGAGGAACTTTATTTTACGGAGAAGGAGGACATTGGGAGGGATTGCTTTGAACTAAAGTCCATTGGAGAGAAGCAAGAGTTCCAGGTGAAAAGGGCTTCTTGGCTGAGGTGCAGGGGTGGGCCATTTTTTGTGGAGGCTGTATGTTCACCTCTTGGGTTCGCCACCTGTTGGGGCCTGTAGTTGACTCTCCTGTTGAGGATTGTTTTGTAGGGGTCTGTAATTCACAATTCTTCCTGTAATCAATACCATGGAGTGGCATGGCTCCCCTTCTGGCTCCTGACTCCATTTTGGTGAGGTTTCCCTTTATTTTTTTTTCATATATATGTATATGTAAATTGGGCCTCAGCAAAATTAAAAACTTTTGTGTTTCAAAGGACACCATGAAGAAAGTGAAAGGACAACCCACATAATGAGAGAAAATTTTTGCAAATCATATATCTGGTAAGGGTTTTCTTTCTAGAATATATGAAGAACATGTTCACCTCCATAATAAAAAGACAAACCGTTACAAAATGGGCAAAGGAGGGGTGCCTGGCTGGCTCAGTTGGAAGGATGTGAGTTTGAGCCCTATGTTGGGCGTAGAGATTACTAAAAGAAATAAACTTTTAAAAAAATGGGCAAAGGATTGGACAGAAATTTCTCCAATAAAGATATACAAATGGCCAATGCACACACACAAAGGTGCTCAATATCATTAGTCACTAAGGAAATGCAAATCAGAACCCCAATGAGATACCACTTCCTACATCCTAGAATGGCTATGACCAAAACGACTGGTAAGTGCTGGAGAGTATTGGAATACCTTCACCAGGGCCCACTGCTGGTGGCCGCTGGCAGACCATCAAGGGACAGGGTAGCTGAAAACATGACACGGTAATTTCAAGGGTGATAGAGTCAGTTGATGGGGCGAGGACAGTGACAATGCAACCTGAAAATGGGGCTGCAGCCTTGAGGTACTGCCAGCCACCTGGAGAGAGGGCCAGTGTCTAGCCAGTTGGTCTGCCCAGAGTGGCCAAGGCCCGTGCTCGGAGGCCTCCTTCACCAAGGATAAGCATGTAGATTTGTCCCTCTCAGTCCCACAGTCAGGTCCATGAAGGTGGCACCGTGCTGCCTTGTAAGGGGCAGTGGGCGTGTCCCTCGAGACTCTCTAACAAGCTCCAAACAGGCCACAATAACCCACTGTTCTCACCCTGCTTACAGGTGCTGCTTGCCACAAGAAACTAAGGTACAGCCAGAAGCCACAAGCTCCAAACAAGCCCCAGTGACCCAGTTTTGGACCAGTTTGATACAGTTCAGACACTGTGCTAACCCTCCAGATGACCTCAGGACATTACTGTATCACTGTAATAACAAAAAACACCTAGGGGCGCCTGGGCGGCTCAGTCGGTGATCAGGTCATGATCTCAGGGTCCTGGGATCGAGTCCCGCATCAGGCTCCCTGCTCAGCGGGGAATCTCCTTCTCCCTCTGCCTCTGCCTGCCGCTCTGCCCCTCTCTCTCTTGTCAAATAAATAAATAAAATCTTAAAAAAAAAACCCAAACACCTACTAGTGCCCTGACAGATCCAACTGCGCCCATTTAAGGGAAAAAAAGAGGTGGCAGTCTGATTCCAAGAAAGCCCCCTTCCTCTTCCCTAAGACACCCCTGGTCAGCTTGCTTACCAGCCCTTTAATTACCCTAAACCCGTATAACCCTGACCATGAGACCTAATCAGGAAGAAGATGACTTTGGAGCATGAACTTCCCTTCTCCATTCTCTGGTCATTGAATAAATCACCAGCTTGCCATCAAATGTGGTTTGGTTATTTGGCAAACAATCTTGAGTAGGAAAAGAACTGGCCACTTTGGTAACAGGTGGGCCACTCGGGCTCCACCACCATCTTGATTTCAGGGGTCACTTCAGGGCCCTCACCATGGGCATACCTATGAGAAACCCAGAGACTAGCGGCCACTTTGCCGAGTTTGGGACCTCAAAGAATCTTTAATCTGTGGGCTGAAGTGTCCCCTGTAGTAGACCAGATGCAGCCCAGTGACCCTGCTGAGTTGAACCCTGGGGAACCAGATGGCATGTAGGGGAACCTCTGAGAAGGAAGCCCCCTGAACCAGCAGCTTTGCTTCAGGTGCCATAGTGGGTGGGGGTAAAGTTTCCCCCAAAGAGAGAGTTGTTCTTCCTAGCAAACAGGTGACACTAGGGGCAGGGTGGCTGCATCCCAAACATATGTTTCACTGGACTTGGTCAGATTGCCTGAGATGTCAGGTTGAGTGACAAGGCCAGGGGTCAGGCGGTCAGCTCTGTGAACTGGTCCTAGGCCCAGTGCGGCAGCCCATTTCTGGGTCCCCATGACTTCCGGTTTCCTCCCAGGGCTTTGTGTCCCCACGTGGGGGCTGTGCAGTGGTTAAGTGCATGCCTTCGGACTCAGGGTGTACCTCGCGGGACCAGCATGGTCTGACGAGTCTTGCCATCCAGGTGCTTTCCCTGAGTGACCGTGACAAAAGCCCCAGGCAGGGGGCGGTGGGGGTGGTGCACCAGCCAGCCGTCAAGGACCCTGTTCGGGACCTGGGATGGGGTGCAGAGGGAGGAGTGTGTGTGGGGTGTGGGGGTCCCAGGGCCACCCGCCCAGCAAGTGGTTGCACAAAAGCTGCTACCCACTGTTGCGGTCCCCAGGACAGCAGTTCGCTCCTGGCAGTCAGTCACGGGCGCCTTGACCTGCTTGGTTGCTTATATGACCAGCCACAGAAACTGTTTAGTATCAGGAGAGGGGTCAGCCTGTGGTCTGGGCACTCTGTAAGAATTTTCGGACACTACTTCTTGCCCTCCTATGGCAACACCTCTCCCAACATCATTCTTTTAAAGTGCATGCATCCCTTGCATGTACGTTTCATTGAGAATCACATATTAATATATATTTATATGTCCACTTTCTGAATTCCATGAGGGCTGGGATTTGTCTTTTATTCCGGGATGAGTCCTCAGCACCTTGAATTATTAGAATAGGTATTCTCATGTTTAAGAAGCTCTTAGATTACAGGCAGTGGCCCTGGTGCCATCCTGGCAGCAGCCTGGACGTCTGTCTTTGCACACAGGGATTCCAGAAGGAGGCATAGTCGGAGGTGGGTCTCCAGTACCCAGAATGCTGACCCTCCCCACTCCTGTCCACTCTTTGGTTTCAAAAATACTAGCAGCCAGACCTATATGCTGCAGGAAGGACACTGGAAGACTCTTACTGGGGAGCCTGGCCAGCCCAAAGGAAGGACTTAGAGATACTGATGGGGGTTCCCCAATTAACAGCCCCCCCACCCTGAGCACCCCAGAGTTAACCTCAAATTCGATGAGCCCCACTTACAAGCCTAGTATTTCCAAATAGCTCTCTGGCCTATTCTTCCTCATGAGCAAAAAACTACCTGCCAGCATGCAAAGTGTCTTCCTGGAAGGTAGAAACGGAAGAAACAATGGAGCAAACCTACCAAGCAGGAGATGACACTTCAACGTTTCTCACTCATATCCTCAGACATTGCTTTCTTGAAGCAAGAACAGAACATTTCTCTAAAAA